GGCGCCGAGGCTCAGCCCGCAGCTGCGCTCACGGAGTCGCCGTCGCACATCAGGTCTCCTCTTCCCCCGCTGCCTTCTGTTTCCCCACATTCCTGTCTCTTCGCAGGAACCCTGCCTTCCCTGCCAAGAACCCTGTGCGCAGGGAGAGCTTCAGTTTTGTCTTCTATGCCTCCAGGGACCCTCTTGCCCATCTTTCCGGCGGTCCAGGGTCTCCATAAACTTCTCCTACGACACTGTCTTTAAAATGAATCAAATTCGAGGGTGTGTGTGACCATAGTCATGGTCCCTAGTGGAGTCTCTTTACTCTCGCTGACCTTCAGCTCTCCCGAGGTGGACCCTGAGTCTGCCTTCTCTCGAGTTTCGGCGCAGGCAGTGTGCTTGGACGTGAAGAGTCGCTGCGGTCAGCCTGTGGAAACCAGAGCTGGGCGGAGCGAGAGGACCTGAGAGGAGACCAGTTAAGAAGCTGTTGCCCTAGTCCACGTGCGGTAGGATTGTGGCTCGCATTCTATGTATTAAGAGTCAAATTCTGGATATATTTTGAAGATAAAGCCAACAGGCTTTTCCCACAGATTAAATGTAGGGGTGATACGGAAGAGAAGAGCCAGAGGTGACTAAGGCTTGTGGCTTGAGAAACCAGAAGTTTGGGACAGGGACAATTCAGTGTAGCAGGTGCTAAATTTGAGTTCTTTCTGCATGATCGACATGGAGAGGTGAGGAAGGAAGCCGACACATGGGCCTGGAAAGGAAGGAAGTTCAGGCTGGAGATGCAAACAGGGGTGTCAACATCTAGCTGGTATTAAGGCACTGTATCCACGAGGTCATCTGGAGAACGAGCCAGGTTCAGGAAAGCTGCTCTGAGACACCCCAGCATTTAGAGGTCAAAGAGCTGCAGAAATTGCAGAGAAGAAGACTCAATAGATGCAGCCGTAAGACCGGAGGAAAATCCAAAAGCCAAGTACAAAAATGTCCCAAGGGAAAGGGAGTTATGAATTGTGTCAGATTCTACTGAGAGAAATCAAGTAAGCAAAAGACTGAGAAGTGACTACTGGATTATGCAGCATGAAGGTCATTGGTAACTTTGACTAGAGGTTACCTGAATCTGTCTAATTTGCTTTTTCAAAGAAGTAAAAATCATTTAAAATCCCTAATTTACTATTGTATTGATGTCAATTTTTCCTTATGTTTCCAATTATTTATTTTCTTTATGTATTTCAATGAAACATCATTTGGCTCAAATTTTTTCAACAGTTTTATCTTCACTGAACTTTGCTCTTAACAAAAAATAATAATTTTTCCTGTTTAATGCTTTCATGTTGAATTCTACTGTATCTTATTGTGATCTCTAAGTTAATACCTTTCAGAATTACAACAAAATCAGGTAAAGTCCGTGATGTTGCAACAGAATGGTAAGAAAAATGTACTATTTAAAGAGGTCATCTTTAGGTTTTCATAAATAACCAGATAGGAAAAAGGAAACATTTGAAGATACTTTATTTCTATAATAAGGAAATTTCACATAAAAGTCTTCATCATTTTATTAATTCATTAAAAGTTCTAAAGTCATTTAGAATTAAAGGGAAAAGTTCACACCAACCCATAAAGATACATTTTGTCGTCTTCTCTTCACCCTGGAATATGAACAAAAACATATTAAGTACTAATTAAATGAGTAGGTGCAGAAGGTAACTGATTCTATTATATCAGAGAAATATTAGATAGGAAGTTCTGAAGGCATTCTGTGAAGCCTTTAAAACAACTTTAAATACTTTTGAGTTAATGAGTCATTAACATTGTGGGCATAATTTTGTTTTAGTATCTTTAAAATAAAGTGTTTTATTGGCTTGTCTTTCTTTATAAGAAAAGCACTTAATGGTAGTTTTTAGGATGTATTTCACTATAGGTTGATATTTGGAGAGAATCAACATTATTTAGGCTTGTCTCAATTTTTTGTTACCTGAAGTAATTTAAACTCCCAAAGCAGCACGAGTTTTTGAAATCAGTTTTGGACCCTGCAAATTAAGAATAAATAGGGATCATTATGTAAAGAAATGGGTGACTGTGCCAGTCATACAGTTAATTCTCCACTATCCAAGGGTGAATTAACAGGTTTATAGATTAACCACGTTAAAAATAAAGATACACATTTCTAATGCCAACAAGCTGAGACAATCGAAGCCAGGGAGAGAGAAAAATCCACTCATCTCAATAGTAGATTTTGTTTTTCCTAGACTAATCTCTGAAACACAGCCACATACTAATGAGTGTGCACACACAAGCACACTTATTATATAATCTATTGAAAACTTCAACATTTCTAAATATATCTATCTTTGGAATTTATATTAAAAAATCTAAACTTTTATATTAGAAAATAGATTAAATTGGTAAAAAGGCTAAATTATAGAATATATATTTAAAATATAGTGATGCTACATTTAAATGTTTAATAATATAAACTAAAAGCTTACAAAATGTAGTCAGTTACAAATACAGCTAAAATTGCTAAATAATTAGATTAAGATAATTCCTAATTATTACTCTGCTGATATTCAAAGCCATGCTTCCAAATGAGTTCAAATATATTTCCTATAAATATTCCCCCAGTATCCTGTTTGCACGATTCATTTGCTAATAATCTTTTTAACCCATTTAGCTGAACTGATCAGTTTTAGGTCAGAAACTATCTAAATTATCATCAATTAATTATATATTCACTTTATTGTTTTTTCTACCAAGAAATCTAAATTACTAATTCTCTGAATATATTTTTAAATGAGACTACGTCTTAATATTTGGTGAGAAAACTGATTATTTTTCAAATGTCATATAATTCTAAGTGAAATTTAAACCTCTCTGGCATTATTTTAAAGTTATAGATTAGTGGGGTGTTCTTTTCATTATTCATTGCAGAAAATGCTGTACCAAGGGTGAAAATGAGCTGCACATACCTCTTCTGCAAAGCAGACTTCCTGTTCTTCACCTTGGCAGCACTTCTCCAGTAGGCCAGAGAAATCTGCAATGACAGCCTCAAGTTGTTCCTCTGATATTTGTGGCTTTTGCTTCACAAGGTTAATGAGAAACCTATGATTTAAAACAAAACAAAATACAAGAGAAGTCTGTTATCTAATGATATTTTTCTAAAGCCTTCCTAGTAGAGAGTTTTCAGAGCCTTAGCAACCCTCCCCATAAACCCCTTTCCATCAATTCATAACCAGACTTAGCTCCTACGCCTTGTCTAATACTCTCATCAGAAAGTCTAGAATCATGCCAAGTGCTCCACTGGTCTGCACTTGTGCAGATTATAGAGGAAACATTATTTCACAGTTCCACCATACTTATATGTAGTAAAATACAGTCTTTTTCTTATTTCCCTAGAATATTCTTTCCAATTTTCTCTTCTAAATTGTCTTACCCATACTCAAAGGTCCAGATTTCCCAACATCTAACGTTCATAATTATGACACCCTTACCTGAAGAAGCACTGGCAATACTAATTGTCTGCTCTACTTATTTAGCAACACTTTCATTGAAATTAATGCTGAATGGAACAACAGGAAAGGCTTGCCAGAAGAGGTAGCATTCTTACTGTACTTTGAAACATGCCCCGGATTTTAACAGAGAAAAAAGGGAAGACCAAGTTTTCCAAAATGAAGAAGGACCATTTACAAAGCAAGCAAGTATTAGAATGCATGAGAATTTGGAGACCACACATTTCATTGACTTGCGTTACCACCACCATTACAGAATGCCTCCCACAATGAATTGAAATGTGCATTCCAATTTCTTAACACTCACACTTCATGGCTGAATCAAATATTATAGTTATTCTCTTTAAAGAGTAAATTATGTGAAAAAAGATTCAGTGGCTTTTTGGAATGAAAGTACCCAGACTTGCTGTAAAAATATATCCTAATTCCCCCAAATAGATTGCCCATTTTCCTCAATCCCAAAATAACACTCCCACAATAGTTACAGTGGAGACTGTTTTTACAAACAGGAAATTGTCTGCCTTACTGAATTTTTCCAGACCTATGTCCCAGTGAGGCGGTAAAGACACTGAGAGAAAACTATTTTGAAAGCCACTTTAAGTGCTTTGGAGTAAGAATGTTCTCCCGATGAGCCCAAGAGTGCTGAGTGTGGAGCATAGAAATCTCAACTGCTATTTGGTATTGCCAGTCTCCATGCTAGCAAATAACCACTTCTTACTGTTGCTTCATTGCTTGCAGAGCTACCCCCTGAGCTTGGCACAGCTCCTTATGGAAGATGAACTTGTCATCAGAGAAGGGTGGAGGGACATAGGCTTCATCCACCACCAGGCTGCTGAAGCACGGCCTCCTGTTGGCGTAGGAAGAAGTGCAGCACTGGCCGACCGCGGGGTTGACAGGGGTCTCTCCATGCCTGATGCATAACTGTCCAATAATAAGGTCAGCCTGTTAGGAGAGTGAGAATAACAAAAGCGGGGGGATTGAGTATTAGCCATAGAATTGATTCCGGTTTCCAGAAAATTGTTGCAATAATTTTTTTTAAAATAATTTTTAATGTGTGGTAATTTTTAATATTACAAGAAAATTTGCTGTCCATGTAGGATCGTGTGTTGCCACATTGTAGATTCTCTCTTACCCGCTGGTTTGGGATGAACCTCAGCACTTAGTGACGGATGTTCTATAGGTGATGTTGAAGATAGTCCCTTCAGCTATTCGTTTCAGCTATTTGAAACATGCTTCCAAAGGGGAAAAAAGAATCTGCCCTGACCTAGGAAATCAATATGTGGCTTACATTTTCCATGTTTATCAGGTTGAGTTTTCTATTTTACCTTCGGGATCCAGAAAATCACTTTCTGAAGGTAAGAATAGCACAGACTTAGTCATATTGTATATGTGTGTGTGTGTAACAACACATATAGTCCTAATTGAAAAGAAATAGGGCGGGCGCGTGTGTGTGTGTGTGTGTGTGTGTGTGTAAGGCTTTCCTAGTGTAGAATCCTCCTGCCTTCCACACTTCAGAGACATTTTTAAGTGCCTACTAATAACTTGTAATAAGGGCCAGCATATTCTGTGTGCACACTATGTATTACACTAGTCCTGAGTGAACAGGGCTCTCTACCTCGTGACAGCCATCTCATGAGGTGGCACAATGCTTATTCTCAAATGCCAGGTGAAAAAGCTCAAGCTTAGTGAGATAACTAGCTTCCCCAGTGTGACATGACTGACAGGTGTTGAGAGTGGGAAGGGACTGTAGGCAGGAGCCCTCCAGAACACACTCCTGAGCTGCTACTCCATCCTGCGTCTCTGAATCCTCTCAGCATGCGGCATTCACTAAATGTCAGTGATGCTTAATCACAGGAGATTCTCCCGTTCCTTTTAACCTCTGGTGAAGAGTTCTAAGACATGAAGATTAACTCAGCAGATCACTCCCCATCATCAGAAAGAGGAAAAGGGGAAAATTTGTGTACAGTTTTGGTCACAACTGTGACTTTAAGGGGAAAGAAAATGAAAAAACAACAACAAAAACCCTGTAATCACATGTAGGACACTAATGACAGTCATTTTGCCATTGAGAACATGGGACTCACCCTGTTCCTGTGCCCTATACCCCGTCAAAGGGAACAAATTATTCCTAAGATCATAATAAGATTATACTACAAAGGGTAAAAATGTAATGTATGGCTAAAAATAAAATGACGAATTTTAATCCATCGAAGATGAAGCTTTTCTTTTTCATTAAAGTAGGTATTTGGTGAACAAAACAAGGACCCATGAAGTGAAAGATGTGTTGGTTACTCTCCTCCCTGGACGTAAAGTTTGCATCACTGTTGAATAAACCGGTTGCACTTCCACCAGCCATTCTAGAAGGACGGGAAGCCTGGCCAATGCTAACCGTTCAGGGCCGAGTTGTCACACCCATCCCCTCAGCTGAAACTAGCCGAACAAGTCTAATAAAGCCACCTGCACATTGGTTTTTACCCTTTCCCCTAAATGGGAATTCTGAGGCCATTTCAATCAGACGGGGCAGAAACAAGATGGGATTTGACAAAACACTCACCGCTCCCTCACCGCAGGCCAGCTGTTTCTCCTCACTGAGCCGGCAACAGGTGGCGGCTGCCACTGCCATTTTCCTGGTGTAGGCCATCAGCTCAGGTGGGCTCAGCTGAGGGGCTTTCTTTGTGTAAGCAACAAGAAACCTGAAAGGCATTTTTCACCAAATCCTGCTGAGTCATTCACCAGTTTTTGGACTCACTTCTTCTCAAAGACCCTCTTTTGGCATCAGAAGACATGAACTCAGCTCATTTTATCATCCACATGGTATTTGGACTAACTTCTGAGATGCCATTACTCTAACAACCACTCCTTGGGCTCCTATTACAGCGACATATCCCAATGGGACAAGCTCTGGGCAGAAGGTTGACTCATTCCCAACCTCAGAAGCTTCACTGATTTTCACTCTGATCTTTTGGTGTTTGAACGAAGACAGACTATGATAGAATGGATATCTCTACTGCAAAAATCTGCATGATTTGAGGGAACCCAAAGCCAGTGCCACAGATCAGACGTCACAGGCCATTCATGTTTCCTAAACTAGAGGGATGGAGAGGGCTGCCTTCTCTCAGCGGACTTTGGGTGATCACATTATAACAACTTCCAATCTGAAACAGGAGCGGAAATTGGAGTCGCCATGGGGGACTAATGTAGATGTCTACTTCCCTCGCCGGTTCATAATTTTAAATCACTAAAAATACTGCTTTAAAAAAACATACGCATTTTGTAAGTAATATTCTCCTAGTTTCTGGAAGAGGCTGCAGCTTCGCTTTGCCAACGCTTGGCTCTCCTGGACATATTTCTCTAATTCTTCTTCCTGAAATCACAAGCATTATTACACACATTTTTCTCTTCCTGGACACAAAACTTTGTGTGTAAAAATCTACCAATAATATTTTATTCCATGATAATACCAATCTTAGAGAAAGCAATTTTAGAGGAATTTAAAATATATATATATTAAAGATGGCAAAGTTTGAATTGTGAGAATTAAAGCAAATGGACTTCAGGTAGATCGAGTTTAAAATTTTGTGAATCACCGAGTTATTTGATGACAGAATTCAACCTTTGGATAAAAGATTACAGTTCTTTCTATACAAATTCTTGCCTTTCTGGAGATGTTAGAAATGAATATTATTTTTATTCTGTGCATCAAAGAATTTTTGGGTAACATTTTTATTTCCAAAGTAAGCCACTAGTTGTTGACAGCTAGTTAATAACTGGTTTAATATCTAGGTGACTAGTTAGTACATATAACTAGCTAACCATTAGTTAATAACCAGATACTTTCAAACTAACAACATTTTTTAATGGAGGATATCAACCCAACATTTCATATTCTCCCTAAAAAAAGCTAGAGCAATTTACCCCTTTATCTTGGCATTCAAGAGGGTTTTGAGACTGGGAACACTTCTCCAATAAGTCCTGATATCCTTTAGCAACTCTTAGAATTACTGGGACAGCAAACTTAGTATGTCTTCTTGAATATTCATAAGTAAATCTGAAATATGTGTGGAAAAAATCATGTTATTAGAATTAAGAGAAAAATTCTTCCTTTGTTATATGGAAAGCAGAAGTTTAAATTCAAGTAAATAACCCTGGAAACCAAATATGATTTAAACTATCTGCATGGTAAAACTATTAGTACAAATTATACTTCAAATTGTTTTAAAATGGTGCATTTTGTCTTCTTTTGCACCCTTCATTTGGATTTTTAATTGTGGGCTTTACATTCATTTATTCAACAAATGTTTTTCCAGTGCTGACTCTAAAGCATTTCTTTAAGCAGCAAATTTTCAATAATGTATAAGATAAAATGCCTGAGCTCTCAAAAGCATACATTATAGGGAGGCAGAAACAAATAAACAAGAACTAGGTCATCTAGTTTTCAGTGCTGATAAATCAATGAGGAGAAATAAAGGAAGTTAGGAGAAAGGAAAAGAGGTGACACCTAAGTTAGTGTATATGGTCAAGAAAATTCCCTTTGGGCTTAAGGGAGCCACACAAGTATCTGGGGGAAGATCATTTTCAGCTGAGAAAATTTCTACTGCAAAGAACCTTTCTAGTTGAAGAACTGCTTCTGTTACATAAACAATAAGCTGTGGATGTGTATGGATGTGTAAATACAAAGATAATTCTTGAATTTACTAATTGTATTCCCAGGTTATAGAAATAGGTATGTTAGTTCTGCCACCAATAAATTGTCAATATGGGTTCTTAAATCTTGACTTTGTTCTTATTTGCATAATTTTATTTAGCTGTGCAAACAATGTATGAATGTCTAATTTTAATGTAACAATAGAGTAATATCCTCAGGGAATATTAAAGAGAAAATTGGGCCATTATTCTTATTGCTACATTAGAAGCAGTCTCTTAAATTTAGAAAGACCTCTGGAGATCATTAAGTATAATGTCCTAAGAGCTGCACAAATCCTTCTTCTAATAGAGTCCATAGATATACACTCCGCAATAAAGGAAAATGTATTAACTGTTTGCTCCCTTAAAGGCAAACAGAATGAGAACATGTCATATCAATTACATTACAACAAACTGCTATACTGCAAATGTCTCTCAACCTTATTTTCTTACAAAAATAAAGCATGAATTCAATAAATAACAAACTGTTCCAATAAAAGCCCTCTCATCTAGCATTATCTATTGCATTATATTTGGGGGGGGGGGTTAAAACATGCACAGTGGAAAAGCACATTCTTAATCATGAGCCCTTCTTATTACAAAAATATTCACATCCTGTGTGGAAATTCAATGATCTTCCTATGAGTAACCCATACAGGGAGGCAATGCTTCGGATTCCAGAGAAACATATACAAATAAAATACAGCCTAAAAAGCGAGCCAGTTAATAATAGTAATGGTGAAATCTCATCAATATAACATAGATTTCATTCCTTATTCCCTAGGTATCCGCTTAAATATATTTTGGCTCAGGACATTTTAGCATTATTCTCACATACTGAGCTCAAAAACCACAGTCTTCACTCCCCATTTCAACAACATAAAGCTGCCAGCCACATAATCTTTACTAGTGTGGACGTACATTTACAGAGTGTGTTTACCTTGCCATGAAGAGATCTTTTTCCCTTGAAGAAAACTGGTTGAAATCTCTCTCTCCTAAGAACCTATTTAGAGTTGGAGATAAACCTTCAGGTTCGTCATCATTTTCTGCATGAATTATGCAGTGACCAAGTTCAAGTATGGGCAGTTTGCAGCATTCTGCTATTTTGCTTGACAGAGTATCTTGATGAGAACATATGTAGGACATAATTTTTTCCTGTAATCAGAAAAATAAAGTATACATTTTTAAGGTTTATTCTTTAAGGCAGGACCTCAGGGCCAGTTCCAGGAAGAACGGAAAGAAGGAAAGAAGAGGGGGAGGGGGGAAGGGAGAAAGGGAAGGATAATAAAAGGAAGGAAAGAAGAAAGAAGACATTTTACCTTGTCTCTTATTTTAGTGCTTTCTGCTGATTCTGCCTTTCCTCACTTCTTTCCACCTGTTACTCAGCTCTTCTTTTGATAATTGTCTGCTAAAACCTTAATTTTTTATTAAGAAGCTTTTAAAAACAAGAGAAAAATGTACTCCTCAAACCAAATGACATGCCCATTTATGTATATCTTTCTGTTAATATTGAAATTTGCTGCTAGACACATTTGCTGTTGATGTCATAACACGGAGAGCAAACTTTCTGCTCCGTCTTAAACAGAACGATCTGCAGTGACCCACCATGGCCTCCAGAGGGCAGTCTACAGGCGGCCAGAAAGCAGCAGCATTTACACATTCCTGTGGCAGGGCTGAACATTCTGCGCATGCTCAGCAGCGACCATTAGGCCCCATTCTTTAGTCATTAAAGTCCAACTTACCTACCATATTGAAATTAATGTTTCCACTTTAGAAGAAAAAGTGGTTATGAGCTCCAAAAACTGAAAAATTAATTTTGAAAAAACTAACTATACAAATTAATAAAATTATCAATTAAAACTGAGAAAACAGCCCAGCCAGCGTGGCTCAGAGATTGAGCATCGACCTATGATCCAGGAGTTCGTGGTTCGATTCCTGGCCAGGGCACATGCCCAGGTTGTGGGCTCAATCCCCAGGAGGGGGCGTGCAGGAGGCAGCTGATCAATGACTCTCATCGATGTTTCTCTCTCTCTCTCTCCCTCTCCCTTCCTCTCTCTGAAGTCAATAAAAAAACTATATATATTTTTTTTAAAAAAACTGAAAGACAAAATATTATTACTGTCCCTTATATGCAGGTAAATATTTCTAAAAGGAAAAATAAAATAAAACGTGTCTCTTGTGGCAGCCTCCTCTCCGTTCATCTTGCCCAACTCCTTACACCAAGATCTTGGCCTGTGCTCAAGACTGTCACTCTCAGGCCTCCCTGTAGCCTTGGCTTCTTGCTGACTTTCAAGACTATCTCAGCAAAATTGTCGCCGAAATGAACATTTTATCTTCACTTCAACCTTCTGGAAACTATGTTTAAGCCTCCTTGGAAAGAAGGTGTATCACAGTGAACAGAGAGGGAGTAATGTGGGGATAGGCCGGCCTCTCGCACAACATCTAGGAAGCCTGGGGTTGGCCAAAACAGACCAACGCCACACAGCTTAAATTGTGACTCACTATTGGCATGCTCAAAGGATGCCCAGAACATTTATCTGCACCTCTTTATGAGATGGCTGGCTTTACCTTGAAGAATAGTTTTTTGAGTTATTTCTGTTGTTTCTTGTGTTACTTTATTGTATTTGTATACTAACTATATGAGTATATAATAAAGGGTCTCCCAGGTGCCAGGCATTGTGCTGGCAACCTACAGAGATAACAATAAACAAAAGACAACCCCTACCCCAAGGAGGTCACCTGTCTTATCTCTCCTAACAGTCTATAAATGGAGGTTAGCTTGTGCCTTGATAACAAATGTCCCTCACAGTGGCTATTGAATATGAATTGTTTAATATACATTTGTCAGATGAAAGAACAGACTCTTTACATTCAAAGTAAAGAGTCTGCCCCCCAAAATTCCACGTGGAAGCCTTCTGAGATGGTACCGTCTCCTTTAGAAGTAAGAATGAATGGATGCTGGTCTCGCAAGAGGATAGCATCCCTCAGGTGAAAGGCAGGGTCAACAGAAGAGGGTTTGCTCCGCCAGCATGAAGCCTGTCACTTCACCGAGTCGGCCAGTTACGATGACCTGTGACCAACCCAAGTCAGGTAGCCTTCTCCCATTTAGAAGGAGAGCAAAAGGAAGGAAAGGGGGTGGCAACAGCTCCTTTTTAGGAAGCAGGAGTCCTCACCCCATCCTGCAGGCACTCCAGCACATTTCCTCGGCAGCATTCCTCATGTGTGTGGGCCACGTCCAGGACCAGTTTCTGGATCTCAGTAAAATTAGCCTTGGGAAACTTTTGGCTCAGCTTTGTAACGGTTCTAGAGGGAGAGAAAGAATTAGAAATCAATCTTGATTATAAAAATTAAATAACATTTATAGAGTAATAACATGGTTGCAGCTCCGAGACAAAGACCTGGAATGTTCTCGTTGTTTAAAAAGAAAAGGCAAAGCGTTCTGAGCCTCGTCAGGGCAGCGCAGCCTCTGGAGGCAGAGCCCCGCGGGCTGCCACCCGGCCCCACAGCGGGTTGGGAGTGACCTGTCTTTCCTTGCAGCCCTTCCTGGGAGCTTTCGCGGTTCATGCCTGATGCTGAGCACATAGGACCAGCAGAGTGGGTGGGTGAAAACTAAAAAGGAGAAACAATTAAGAACTGGAAAATTCCACTAGAATGATAACCATTGCATACTTGGGAGGCAGAAAAATACTTCTGAGAATACAGGGAGAGGTGCATGTGTGTAAATCAATAAAATGGGACAAAGTGGAGCAGGCTACACATTCAGATGTGTCATCATGTCAAGAAGTGTAGTGTGGTGGCCCAAAAAGAAGGTAAGAAATAGAAATTCTTGTTCTTTGTGCGTATTTCATTAAATTTCAGAAATGTCTAGGTTCAACCCCTGTTCCCTATTGCTACTACTGATGAAGATGGATTTTCTTCCTAGATTCACAACATTTAAGTTTAATCACTTATGGATATCATAAAATAAAGTCATTACAATAACATCTAATTTATATTGATTACAAAGATGAATTTAAATAAACCAGTTCATGAATCAATCTTTAAGTTTCTAAGAGAGTAAGCGGGTAAAACATACATCTGACCTCTCCCAAGAAGAAATTTCAGTCAGTCTTGGATCTAACTCCATAACTAAAAACTTTAATCTAGGCTTCCACTGTGTACAATATTCTCAAATGTCATTTAACAAACAAATAAACAAAAAAATAAAATGTGAATGCATATAATTAATACTCCTTGATTAGCAGCTCAAATGTTTTCTTATACTAGAAATATTTCATCATAAAATTTGAAGAGTATTTTAACTAGTTGTGTAATTTAAAATGTTCTAGTAGTCACATTAAAAAGTAAAATAAAACAGGTTAAGTTCACTTTAATAATATATTTTAACACCACATATCAAAAATATCATTTTACTACAGAGAACAGATTGATAGTTGCCAGGGGGTGCTGGAGGCTGGGTGAAAAAGGTGAAGGGATTAAGAAGTACAAATTGGTAGTTACAAAATAGTCATAGGGATGTAAAGGACAGCATAGGAATATAGTCAATAATATGTAATAACTATGTAGGGTGCCAGGTGGGTACTTGAAATATCCAGGGAATCACTTTGTAAAGTATCTGATTGTCTAACCACTATGCTGTATACCTGAAACTAATACAAAATAATATTAAATAGAAACTGTAATTAAAAAATAAAATTTTAAATATATATATTATTTTAATACGCAATCCACATGAAAACCTACTAATGAGATATTGTGCATTCTCTTCTTCATAGTAAGTCTTTGAAATCTGGTGGGTGCATGTTTTACACTTAGAGCACAGTGCCTCATTTGCTCCAGTGACTGTTCAAATGCTCAGGAGCTATATGTGGCTAGTGGTTGCTAGTGGCTAGTGCTTTAGAGCACAGCTCTAAACCATTGGTAGTTCTGATTTTTATATCTGATTTTAATGTCTCATTGTCAGGATACATAAAATTAAAAATCAATGACATAGTAGACAAATAGGTATAATGAAAGTAAATCATGACAAGGACCTAGAATAACTGGCTTCTGATGTCCAGCAGTGTGGTCTTGGGTAAAGTAATTTCTCCGACTTCAGGTTACTCATGTGTAAAAATGAAGAGGTTGGACTAGATGATTTAACTGCATTTATATTATATTCTTCTTCATTGTAACAACAAAGATAGAAGAGGTGAAATCGAGATAGGGTGGATAGATGAAAAGATAGAAAATAGATGATAGATATAGATGATAGAGATAGATAGATAGATAGATAGATAGATAGATAGATAGATAGATAGATGATAGATAGATAATAGATGATAGATATAGATAGATAGATAGATGATAGATAGATAGATAGATGATAGATAATAGATGATAGATAGATAAATAGATAAGACTGATAAACAAAAACACTAAAAAAGGGAGAAGGCAAATATGCTAAGTTTAAGAGTTAATATGGGAAATTGAAAAATTCTTAATTTGCCTTTGAGCTTTTTAGCAGCTGGAACAACAACACAAACTTCAGTGAGTCACGTTACTTTCATCAGCTAAAAGAATACATCCTAGTTCTTTAAACACATGACAGTTGTTTTTCTCCTGACACTAGATTCTAATAATACTGACTCAAGTGAATCTTTTCATAGGCAGCAACAATTGACATAATGGACTTTATAGCAGACTAAGAAGCAGAATTAATATAAAGAATTTGTTCTTAAGCCAAAAATATTGAATGATACATCAGTGAAGACTAATGTATTTTGAAGAGAATCTAGGAAAACATAGCCTAACTATGAGGAATAATTTGATTGCAGTCCAGGAACTTAAGAGTATCTAGAATAGATCACTAGTATAAATCTCAGAAGTCTTCTCTAGTCTAGGTTAATAAATGTGAAACAGCAGATTGATCTGTTAGCTTCCTTCCAATCCTAAGATTTCATGATTCTTAATCACATTAGCTCTCATCAGAGGAAACTTCATTCCCTACAACAGTGACAAAGAGAAAATGAACTAATACTGCAAAACGGGAGCTCTGCAGACCTCACCTTGTGCCCTAGATAGAACTTAAACTTACATGGCTCCGAAGGTTCGGGGTCCAAAACTTCTCATTACTGCGCATCCATGTTGATTTAACAAGCTGCTCTCTCTTAATTCTTTTGTAGTTGACGCTGCCTAAAATTTGAAGAAACAAGGCATCAGGAAAGCGTGCATTTTCTCTAATAATCACCAAAACAACAGATAAAGGTAAAATGTGAAACTCTATAAAATGAAGGTTTGACTAAAAATTTTAAATGCAATTCATTTTTGTAGAACTGTATTCATTTATTCATTTTTTTAGGTTGGTTTATATGCATCTATGCCGGATAGATTTTTTAAAATACCTTAAAACAAAAAGCTTATTATTTTCATATTTGGGATAATGACTGGATCTATCAGATTGAAGCCTGGTAATTTATTGAATGTCTGCTCAGTCACAAAAATAAGATTGTATCACAGCCTGAAATTCTGGAAATAGTCCTAATTCTTTGAAAATTTTTGTTGGAGGACTTCTGGTGGCAAGTGATTAATTGTGGATATTATTCTAGCTCTCTGAGCCTAAGAAAGCTATTTGCTGCTCTCAACCTAAGTTGTCTTGATTGTGAAATGACAATAACATAGTAGCCCTTTGAATAACATGAGTTTGAACTGTGCAGGTCCATTTATATGCAGATTTTGTCAATAAATACCTGTACGCTTTTGGCCTGTGGTAGGAGTCAGCGGATGTGGAGGGCTGATAGCACACACTGATCTATGCCATTTTACATGGGGGACTTCAGCACCCATGGATTTTGGTATCCTGGGCACCCTGGAACCTATCTACCCCTCATGGATAACAACAGTAGTTAAGTTCTGGGGGAAGTCGAAAGTTATAGGCAGATTTTTGAAGGCATGTGAGTTGACACTCCTAACCCTTGCATTGCTCAAGGGTCACCTGTACTTACACCTCGAATTTGTTCTAAGGATTAAAAGAAATAATGAATACAAAGCATTTATGATCATTTTCTTCTCACTATTTTCTCTCTTCTTCAGCTCTTCCTCTCTTCTCCTCTGACTCCATCTTCTTTCACTGCCTTCTTTTACCTCCTACTCCTCTCTTTCACTTATCACCTCCACACTTGTCTGTCTTTATTCTCACCAGACTCACTTCCTTAGTAATAAAATAACTTTGGCTGAATGAAAGAATAAGTGAATGAATGAATGAAAACAAAGTAAATCCAGGTTTTTTAACCCAAAGAGTATCAGACTGCTGAAATATGCTCTATTCTGGAAATGATATTCCACACCCAAAGTGTATTTCCATTTTTAACTTTGTTTGGTTTTGATGAGTCACAGCCAGGTGAAAATATTGGTTCAATATTCACACGAATGTAATACCTTCGTTTGGAAGCATTCTACTGCATTTTCAGCTTTGCAACAAAGTGGAATTATTTTGTCATAGTGAGCAGCCAAAGAAAGGAGTATAGGTGCATACAGGAAGGGGTGCCTCCTTGCTATCTCATAGATGTACCTGTGAAATGAAACACAACTGTGAGATTTACAATCACATGAAATAAGACTGCCACCGCTTGGAACTGACTCTGGGATGTGTTTACAGATTCAGGAAACCATCATATTTTCCCGAGTGCTATCAAAAATTTTCCTCACTAAAAATCCCCAGGGGGGAAAATCTGACAAATGATACTGTATTTTAATTTGAGAACAAAATGGGCAGAGATGCTGACTATGGGTTTTATTAGTGTCCTTTTCAAGAAGCCTACTCAGAGATGTTTCAAGGGCCAGCAAGGCCAGAGCACCACTAAGTAAGACAGAATCGTAGACCCCCCCCCATCAATGCAGAATGGAATTATCCACCTTGGCAGCCTCCAGAGAGGAAATAGAAACCCTAAGGGCAGGCTCCCCGGTTTTCTGGTTTAGGCAGCGACACAGGAGACACAGGCGACTGAGAGTTAGCTACGGGACCCTGGGTGCACACCCCAGCTTGGGGGTGCCGGCAGGGTGCCCTCGCCCGCCTGTTCTAACCGCTGAGCTTCAGTCTCCACTCTGCGAGTGGAAAGAGGAGGGAGAGTGAAGGGGGCGAGTGAAGGGG